TCCACTGTCAACAAATCAAGAACCGATCAACAGAGTCCTTCAGTTGCTTACCAATTCCCTTCTAACCTTCTTCGAGTTCGACGGTGCAATTCAAAGTTCGACAAAAGACCGAACAAATAATTGAGATCTTGAAATTGAGCCGAGCACAAACACAAGTCTGCTGGTTCATTCTCGGCTCAATCACCACATAATTGTTGAATAAAAATTAAAAAACAATGAACTCACATATGAACAAAAATAAAATAAAAAATATTCATGTATATAAGATAAACCAAAGTAGACTAGGATGATAATCCCATCATTAAGGATTGAAAGAGTGAGTTATATAAGTTAGGTTTGAACTACAAATAAGAAGATTAAAATTTTGGATTAAATTAGTATTTGTCCTGATATATATTAACCCTAACAAGTTTGACTTAAGTTTATCAATATTTAATTTTAACATGGCATCATAAAAAAAAAAAATTGATTTGAATGAGCGAAAAATTAAAAATTAAAAGATTGATTGAGTCAATCAGGTTGAATTGGTATCTGGTTGATCCTGACCAGCTTAACTCAAACATCTCTAATCACATATACTCGATTTGGCTCATAACCTAGAAGTTAAGTTTTGGTTAATCCGGACCACTTTAACTCAAACATCTGGAGTTACATATACTAGATTTGGCTCATAATTGAGGAATTAAGTTTTTGGATTCACATAAACTAAAAATTATGTTTTTAAATTGAATTGATATTTGTTAAAGTAATGGCTTCCCCTAACTCAAAACAAAACCATGTGGACAATTGGTGCCTTTAATGACAATACAAATAGATGATTGGTCTTAGTAATTGGCAAGTGATGTAACTTGAAGATGCAATTTAAAGAAATATAGCAGAATAAGTTATAATGATTTAGCTAGATTTAGCATCGTAAAAAGAACATGCAGTAAGCAAAAGATACACCTGGTTGAAAAAATATAAATGAGACATTGTGGGAGGTCGAAATACTTACAAGGAAATCGGAGTAAAACATGGAAACAATGATATGTGAGAAGGACCCTGTCCAGCCATTTACAAAGTCACAAAGCTTGCCTGAAAGGAATTTAGCTATGCTAATATCAGCTATGCTAATATTTAAAACATATTAACATGTGATCTTTGAGATGGTAAAACAACAAAAATCTACAGATCATAAACACAAAATATTATCATATGATCCAACTAAACCGAACATCAAGCATCTCAATAACTCAATAAGAAAGTTTGAATTTATGTGGATGACATTTGCATCTATTTTCCAAGCATGCATGAAACCATCACAAAAGCCCATTTATAAAAGTAGTAACGAACCTTCCTATTTTCTGAAAAAGATTAATCAGATATTTTTATTATATTAAACAACGTACAAGATGAACATAAATGTACTCAAACTTATGATAGATAATACACTAATCATTAGGATATCTCAACAAGTCAACAGAATGTCTTTATGCATGTTGCAGTGGTGAACCAAGAAAACAACATACACTGCGTTGTTTTGATAAACACAAGTGAAACAATTTGATGACAAGTGTTCCAAGCCAACAATAGGTGCCAAATATCAAACATCTGATTTCCTTTAGTACTTTGCGAGGTGTTGCACGCTCTCAACATAAGTGCAGACACCAAATATCAAAAATCTCTTGCATTATATGCTATTACTCATCTAAAATGTGGAATAATTAAAGATAAGTTAACATGTGACAGTCCACTCACATAACAAAGAACTGTGTGAATGTCCTTGAAGCTCATAAAGCAGGCCCAACTGCTTTTCTCTAGTATATGGTGGCAGAAGAAGAAAATAAAACAGCATGTAGCTATATAAACATACATGTGCAGCATTTACACAGAAAATACTTGTTTAGTGTAGCTCCCGCTCTGATCCTAGATTCTGATGATATTCAGCTTCAATCTACCACTTGCACCTATGGTTCTATATCGAGTTCATGATTTGCAATGCAGAAAAAATTGACCTAGTGATAAATTAAATCCAATTATAACATAATTTTAGAATGATCTATATTTGAGTTAAAGTAGGAGTTTCAAGTAATGTGTAATTACTATTTAGGATACCTGGTTATCTTTTTTAAGTTATATGTAGTTACTAATTAGGATATATTGTTATCTTTTATTTTGTCTAGTTTGAAGTTGATATAGAATCTTATCTTGAGCTAGTAGTTGCTAAGTATAGGCTAAAGTCATAGACAAGAATCATATTGCTTGTAAGAAGAATTACTTTTGACTAATTAAGTAGTCAATAAATCAGGATATAAGGAAAGTTACGAATTAATAAACATAAATTCTTAAGCCAAAAACACATGATAAATTTCACATACTTCACCTAATTTGTTCTTCTTCCACTCTTTCATCTTCATTATTCTACTTTCTACAAGAGTAACATCATATTTGCCTTCAGACATCTACAATGTCCCATTCGAGTGTTATTACAAACCGCAGTTCCTCACACTCTTAATGCGTATTTTCAATGTCTTCATCTAAATATTCTCAAGTGCTGGGATATCCCCCGAGAATGATGATGACATGAGTAAGATACACTAATCATTCCATGGAATAATAAAATAATCTCAAAGTGTGATCTAAAAACTCTAATGCTCTTAAGAAAAGGTAAACACATTCAAAGGGATCTAACATCACAAAAAGAATTCATAGATAAATTTCGAATTCATAGCTAAATTTCACTGCATTTAATTAGCTTCCTGTTGGCAATGTGGCATGACAATTTATGTGTCATAATCTCTATTTGCTACTTGACATCGACATTGGCTCACACATTCTAATACACTCTTCACATCCTCGTGCCACACAGGTGATTCAATTGGGTGTCCTTGCAACATAATAACTCTAATGATAGCATAGTCCAATGCAACGGTATACATCTTGCACAGCTTAGCATAATCTAGTACAAAAACTAGGAAATGAAGTCAGCCATAATAACTACTTTGAGACTTCATCCATATTCAAGGATTTAAATATAGATGATGAAATGAAAAATCTACAGAAGTATCCTAATTTAGAAGAACAAATTACAAAAATAATTGCCCGCCAAGTGAAGCATCCTCCTCAGCCACAGACATTACTACGATGAGCTCTCCTCGATGCCATGTAAAAGATCCCTTCCCACAATCCTTCTTTTGCTTTGAGTTCTACCTTCTCATCTACTGATCCTATTTGAACCTCAAGAAACTAATCTGTGCTAGCAGCCATGTAGAATCTAAACATCCTTTTGTCTTAAATGATTACAAAGATGACTAATACTTAATCAATTGTTCAGAACATATCACATCATAGGTATACTGACTACCCGTGGAGGCCGCTACGAACTACTATTTTTTTTTGGAGATCTGTTATACGAAATGCCAATAGAATTTTCTAATGCAGTTAATTACCTATTGTTGAATCCTCCTTTACAACTAAAGCAGGAGCAAGAAACTTCTATTTAAGCTTCTTCATTCCTTTCTATAACCTAAAACCCCAGCATTCTGTTGAGGCTTTAACAGTATCATTCTTCTGCTGCAAAACCTGACAGCACTTGTGTGTGTTAATACGAACTCTAACCATTAATCATGACATCATGCATTTAACGCAGTAACATCATCATTCATAAACCACCATATCTTGATATCCCAATCCACCGTAACACTTGCCGATGCTTTGAAATCGTCGTAATATGTAACAAATCTTTCAAGATTGCGAATCATCACCAAGAGTAAGCTAAACGTAGAACATAGCATATCAAAAGAGAAAATAAGAAACGAAAACCCTAATATCGGCCATCAGCGACTATCCGTCGCGATACCATCGCCCTTATCGGAAACCAGAGTACAATTCCTACGATTAGAAGTAGAAGCAGAGGATATCAACGACAAACAGCTAGTGGAAGAGGAACGAAGCGAGAGATCACGATCGGAAGAAGGAAGCTCACCTATTCCACCGATCTCGCCGCTGATCTCGAAAAAAGCAACGAAGAGAACGAAGCGAACAGAGAAAAGAGGCAACCAGTTAACTGACAGTAGCATCGGCTTCCCCCTCCATTCGTATACATATATACACACCATGGCTCGTAGGTAGGATCCTCTCCAAATTACACGCGTCGGTTTCTCCTTACAAAACCTGCATATCAACCTTTCATCTCCCATCTCGTAGCATCTCAACGGTGCGTTGTTGTCGGCCTCACGGTATGTAGTGATATGGACGATCAGGATGGATTCAGATTGAATCGTATGCTTCCAGAACTGAAGAGGATCCCCGTATTCTCAACCTTTTGGCTCTTGTGCAAGTACCAAAATGCCCACGAAAATGGTTATGGCGCCAAGTTTTTGTTTTCGTTCTTCTGGTTTTTAGGAACAAAAGTTTACAAAATAATAAATATTCAGAAAATTATTTCCATTTTATGCATTATTTATCAATTGTTTTTTAACTTATTTCCATTTAAAATAATTACTGATCTCTGATATTTTAAACTTCATCCAAGTGAATCACAACCACTAAATCCACTCACAAATTAAACTATTAAAATTTTCAGTGTGAATTTTTATTTTAATCTATAGAAGCATAAGAAGTAGGAATAATGTGTGATTGTTAGAACCAAATCGGACTAGATTTATATGATTAGAGAGCTCGTTCGTGGATCATGAAATAACTCGATATTTCTATCAAGATGTTTGACACACTGTTTCATAAATAATAGGTAGTTTGGATCGGTATAAAAATATTTTTGTTGTATAATTTAATATAATGAAAACAATAAAAAATAGTTTTTAGAAAAACATCTCAAGAATCTTTCGTTGGGCCATAAAAGTATATTCTCCGAGACGGAAACGGTGTCACAACCGCCAACCGCTCCAGCCTGAATTCAGTCACAGTGCATCGTCGCGCATGCGCGAGATCTAAAGCTCCGAAGGCGATAAACCATCCGTTGCATCTCGAGATCGTACCAGCACAATCCGACGGCTCTGATTCTCCGCACTGACACCACGCTCGCATTTAATCCCCCCAGCCTCCAGTCGGAGTAAACCCTAAGCTCGTCGCCGCTGCGGAGCTTCTAAGGAGCCATGGGTGAGCTCTCTATCCTCGCCCTTTCCATCTCTCCCCGCCCCTCCCCCTCCGTCGAGCCCGTTTATCTATTTCCAACTCGACGGATTTGTTAGTGTTCTTAGATATATTGTAACATCAGATATATTTGTTGTAAGTTTATTTGCTGGATTTCTATCTTGATCTTTATAGTCTGTGATTGAATGTATTGTTATTTTGTTGATTCAATCTCTGGCTGGCACCTCAGGGGCGTACAAGTACGTGTCGGAGCTATGGAGGAAGAAACAGTCGGACGTGATGCGGTTCCTGCAGCGGGTAAGGTGTTGGGAGTACCGCCAGCTCCCATCGATCGTACGCGTCACGAGGCCGACGCGGCCTGACAAGGCTCGTCGCCTTGGCTACAAGGCGAAGCAGGTACACTGGGGTTCAATGTGAGGCCTCTTTTTGCCCCATGCATTATACCGCTTCCATATTCTTTTTGCTTTCGGTACGATGGTTGTTTTGGAAAGAGAGCGTTCTATATCGATCTTCTAGCTAGCAAACATCTGTTCACTGTTACAATTGCAGAGCATTTGTCTTGGTTTCACCATCTAATACCTAATTCATGCATGAATGCTTGTGTTAAATTTGTCTTGTTCTTGTATCTGCTTAATATACATTTTTGTTTCTTGATTAAGGGGCATATTTTAAGATAAGGTGTGTGATTTTGGCTTTCTATTCGAATCCCTCTTTTTTTATAGGGAGGGAGATTTTATGTTCTCTGGTCGATGATTAGGTGGGTTTTAAGTTGCTAGTACTAACTTGATTACTTGAACTGATAGTTATTTACGGGTTTATGCATGGTCGGATTGAATTAAAAGAAGATCTTTATGTTTGGATGAATATGCTTTCCATCATAATGATTCTTGCGCCTATTCTTGTTGTTTTTAACTGTAACTTTTGAAAAAATACCTTAGGCTTATTTCGTTCAAAACACCATCCACTTTATTTATTGTTTGCTTTTGTTCATAGACAAAAAACAAGAAGCTTTTTCTAGATGCCAAGTGTCAGTGGGAAAAAGTTAATGCTGACTAAATCTTCTGGTGTTTCACTTTCATAGTTGGATGAATTTGAAGGTTTGTATAAGCATCATCTTAAGTAGAGAAAAGGTCAACATTTTTCTTTAATTTGGTTGTCATATCTATTTTATATATATACTTTTTCTTGGATAGTGAAAATCTATTAGATCTATAATGCAGTATAGAGATTAACAATGGAAATAAATATGAAAACTGTCATACGATAAGCAAGAAATAGGGATGACAAAGTTTAATCTGAGAAATGCCATTATTTGGAACATATTTTGCACCTTCAAGAATGGTTTCATTATAATCTGATACTTTCCAGGCATGTTTTGTTATTTCATTATTATTCATGATTTATTAACATATAAGCCTGACTGACGATGGTTGTTTAATCGCATTGTTTCCTGAGAAAGAAAACTATACTATCATCATGTTCACAATATCCTTTTCTGAATCTTGGCAATTATTTACCAATTTACTCATGATCACTTGCTTTTTTCCTTGGGAAGCGAGTTCGATACATGCATGAATGGGTGATTTTTTTTTTTCTTAGGGAAGTGACTACAGATTTCAGTTCTAGAACTCAACTATGCTGTTTAAATTTTGACCTTGAGAGGTTAGCTCAATCCATTTAATTCATGAACAAATCTTCTCTCTTCAAGGCTTAGTTGAATGCAATTGTGAATGAATGGAGCTATTTTTTTTAATGACTAGGAAGGTTGTTTGTTACCACTAGATTTGTGATGTTGCCTGTTGTATGATTGACCCAAAGTGAGTCTGCAGTGGAGAGTATGTCATATGTATTGGCAGTTATTGCCTGCAAACAAATATAGGTTTAATATAATGAGTGCCTCTTGGAGTTTGAAGGTCTTGTTTTAGATATTGTATTTACGTTCAAGTTTAAGTAACAAAGATGGTCTATGTTGGGCTCACACACCTATCTTCTTTTTTTCTCATCTTCTTACATACTGTTGTCTTTCTGTCACTCATTCTTTCTGACCTCTTACTGAACTTAGAACAAGGAATTCTCTGACTGCTTATATAGTGATCATCGTTGGTATCATATGAATTGATTGATGATTTTATCAGCAACATGCTGGAAGATAAAGTGATCTTAAGATAAGAGAATGAATTGCTTATAAACATTGCTGTGATATAACAGGTGGCTCACCGAGCTGCCATCAGTCTAGGAGAAGTGTTTGTTTTTTCAACCGAGAGTTCATCATTTTGAACATTTTACTATTTTTTGGTAGCTATATATTAAGTCTAGGGTTGTGTTTCTTTATTGTGGCTGTATTTTCAATATTCTTTCATGTATATCATGTTGTAATACTAAACTGAGTTATTATGGAGAGCATTTGCACCTCCATGACACAAACAATCTCTTTGTTTGCCAGTCACACTTCTCTGGTTTGCATCTGTTTGCATTTTGTTTCCACTGCAATTTTTGGATTTTGCTGTTCTTTTAATCACAATGATTTGTTCATAAAACATGCAGGGTTATGTGATTTATCGTGTCCGTGTTAGACGTGGTGGCAGGAAGAGGCCAGTTCCTAAGGGTATTGTGTATGGGAAGCCCAAGCATCAGGGTATCACCCAGCTGAAGTTCCAAAGGAACAAACGGTCAGTTGCAGAGGAAAGGGCTGGCCGTAAGTTGGGAGGCCTCAGGGTGCTGAACTCTTACTGGGTTAATGAGGTCAGATGGCTTTGCTAATTAGATAGTTATATTAATCTTATGTTCAAGGCTTTTTAGCTTTGGTCATAGACCTTTATATTTTTGTGTTTATCAAATTAATTAAGGTTCTGTATTATTATGTTTTGTAGGATTCAACCTACAAATATTACGAGGTTATCCTCATTGATCCGGCTCACAATGCGATTCGCAATGACCCTAGGATAAACTGGATCTGCAAGGGTGTTCACAAGCACCGTGAGCTTCGAGGACTCACCTCAGCTGGTAAGAAGTACCGAGGTCTTCGTGGCAAAGGTCACCTTCATCATAAGGCCAGGCCATCTCGTAGGGCAACCTGGAAGAGGAACCAGACATTGTCCCTCCGCAGATACCGTTAAGCTTCCTTGACTGGGTGATTTTGTTTGGAATCTGATTCGGCTTAAACTCATACTCTAATCACAACTTCTCTCTTGTTAATCTTATTTTTTACCATGGAAGTTTGCTGAGATGTTGTAGGTCTATAATTACGTGCGTACATAATACTTTGCCATATCGTCACATGCCCTTGATTGTTGAGTTAGCATAATTTTGCTCTGATTTGAAATTATGATTGGGCATTCGAGTGTATAAGCTGTGGCTTTGTCTTATATGTTGTTTTGCTTGACTACAAATGCTCGCACCATACGATTACCTGTTTTCTCTCTTACCAATCTTTTTCCTAACCTACTTATGGTCTCTCTTCTGCTTCACGTTATTCTTCTGTTCGTTCCTGAAGTGCATCTTCTCTCATAGAAAGACGGTGGTAAGTTGGTGATGTTCGTTCTCTTGCCTTCCCCTTAACTTTCGTTCCTTTGTTTCTTTTATCTCATGTTGTTTGCCATCGATCTCTAATTAGAGTAATCAAACAGAGCAATGGTGGCGTTTGTGTCCCGTTATTCTTGGTGGAGGCTCCAGTATATATTATTGGGCTTTTGCTCCTTAAGCGGTAGATAAGGTTGATTAATGTTTTTCTTGTCATTTTTCTTTAAAGTGCATGTCTGTGTTTCGAATTTAATATAATAGGACTATAAGCATTGAATCTTTGTTGGATACGAAAACATTTACCTTCTGCGTATGCATTAATCGGGGTCGTAAGTGCGTGTGCGCTCGCCCTCGCAGCTGCATCCCTGCATCTTCTTTAGACATTTTCTTCAAGCTAATTATATATTATCCCATTTAGATAGTTATACTTAGTTTTTTAATTCTTATATTTTTCAAAAAAAATATATTGGTAATGTTAGTTTTATCGATGAAAATATAAAAATAAAATTTTAAAAGATAATTATAATATTTTAATTGGTAATGACAAATGATGTTGATTGTGATAAATGGCGTCAATGGTAGCAAATGGCGATATCGTTGGGAATCACAAATGGTTGTTGTGAATAAGAAAAGCGACGACGAGAGGTGAGGATCGTTCTACGTCTACATCGACATCAATACAATTGTCGCGCGTTAATGTCGATGTAGATACAAAGCGGTGTCGCTCAGTAATTACGTCGACACAATTGTTGAGCGACGGAAGGGTCGCTGATGTCGATATCAAGTTGTGTCGCTCAACAACTACATCGACATTGATGCTTATACAAAGTAACATCGCTCGGCATCTACATCGGTAGCTCTTTCATCGCTTCAACTACGTCGACGTTGACATAAGTACAGAGCAGTGCTACTCGGCATCTACATCGACAGCCCTTTAGTTGCTCGACAATTGCATCAACGTCAATATAGATGTAGAGTGACAGAAGGACTACTTAACAACTACGTCGACGTAAAAGCAAAACAACTCTTACCTCTCCGTGTCGCTTTTCTCATCCATAATAATCACTTATGGTCTCCAACGACATCATCGTCAGTCACCACTGATGCCGTCTGCCACCATCGTTGTCATCTGCCATCATCAACTAGAACATTAAAATTATTTTTTTATTTTTTTTTATTTTTATATTTTAATTAATAAAATCGATAATATTAGGATAAATTGATCTAACTATTTCAGCTTCGTGTGAATGTAAATTTTTAAAATGTAAGGATGGAGATACTAAAGAGAATCTATATTTAGCCTAGATATGCAAGAAATCCTTAGAATTACTTATTAGATGGATAATGTTTCGGCAAGCATGTCACATTGAACTTATAATAGTGAGTCGTTGTAGTAGTAGAAAGGAGTATTTTGGTAACTTGAACGAGTGTGCCAAGATCCATCAATCATTTTTTGCCCTCGAAATTGGTGACCTAAGTCCAATTTAATCCATTCGACAGGATGATCTGTTCAAGCAGCGAAGGCCGTCCAGATTGAACCTACTTCTGAATTTTAATGTGATCGATGTGACATGTCCAACGATTCTAATACATAAAACCATCATAGCTAAAACATGGGATACGAAAACAAGCCCCAATAGCACAGTATCCATAATCATCATCATCATCATCATTATTGTCCCAGTCTGCAAGGAATGTTTAGATGATAATGAAGGCCTCACTGCATAAAAGCCAAGAATGAATTGCCATGAGAAAACAACCAAACAATGGCCGTGGCCATTTCTTCCATCTGGTTGTACCAGGTTTTGGAGGGGAATTACTCAAGCATGTACTTGGAACTTCCAATCCACCGTCCCCAGTATCCATCTCATTAGATTTTGAGGAGGTCTGGATCACAGCAGCCATCAGCTGCTGCACCCCATCTGTGACCGATACTGGCTCCTTCTCCTCCACTCATCATACTTAAATGGGAACAGAAACCTGATGGACTCGGATTATCAACAATGTGGAAATCACCGATATCTTCCCGAGCACACACGCTTGTCACCTCAGATCCTGATGCACTCGATCGACTACTTGTAGAGTTCATTTTTAAGTTGCCAGAGTGCAGAGTCTCAGAGCTCGCTTCAAAATTGGCAGGCTGAGGAGGCATCCATTCTTTCACCTTGCAACCACCATTTCCAACATTACCTTCCTTTTTGGTGTTTAAAAAGCGACCACTGCAGCCCCTCACTCGGTGCATTGCATGAATGTGGCGTGACTCATGCAAGTATGGCTGCAGAAAAGCAAATCTAATTCAGACACTCAATCTGTTCACAGTAAGGAAAATGCCTATCATAATTAATTTATAATCATCTTCTTAACCTGAGAGTCAAAGAGTGTCACAGAGGTTGGCTACCTAATGACACTCAAAGTAACTACAGCATAAAACAAAAAGTTCTCTCTGCCAGAACAGATAACCGAAATATATATACTAATTTCCTGCACTTGGTCTCAGTTTGAAACAACACAAACTAGAAAATCCAACCCTATAATATGGAGGATTTTTTTTTGTATCGTATGAAATGCGTACCTTCCTAACCTTGATCGATTTGTTCTTTTTCTCAGCCTTAGCACGAGCTTTGCGACGACGAAGAATAGCATTGAACTGTTTTGCATTCACATAGATTGGTCCTTGGGTTGCCACAGCCATTGGTAAAAGCATGCGTCCATGCTGTAAAACGAATATGAGAAATTCACAATCACATAATTTTTTATAGTAACTACCGGTTGGGAAAACAGTCACCAACAATGAACAAGGGAAAAATATGATGTAGCAAATTCACCAAATAATAAATTTGCATTCCTTGATCATTTCATATTTTGACTTCATAACACCATAGAGCCATAATTGATTTTAAAAAGTAAAAAAAAACAAAAATGGTAAAAGCTAATTCTTTCTCGGAAAGAGAAACCAACCATTGCTTGAGCTGCATAAGTTGCATATAAGCCATAGAACTGGTCAACATAAGAGTGACTGGGACAAACCTACACCAGTATCAAAATGTATTAAAATAACCAAGTTACATTGCAGATTGAATTAGCCAACTTCAGAGCAACTATTTTCTCCAAGAAAGTATAGAATGAGAAACCAAAAACTTACCATAGACTGACCAAGTCCTGGCTCGAAACAACCTGGATTTTCACGTAATGATGACTGTAGAGGAAAGGGCACATAGTGTTGCTGAGTCTTCTGCACTTCTCCTAAATCCTTGGGATCTAAAGAAGAAAAACATCAGTGGTTGAGTTCATTTTGTGCGACCATTGGTAGGGAGAAACATTATATGGTCTGAAACTCAGAAGTAACATCTAGATAGCACTGTGGGTTTCTCCACAAATTGGGAGATATAAACATGATATGTTGAGATTCTCTCAGGTGGTAATAATTAAGTGAAGGTTATGCCGCTTTACAATTGTAATTTTCACTTCCAATGCCAACTTATGCACATGTTTACATTCTTGTTAGAAGGATTGCTTGTTATAAGTGATTTCTTTCTCTACTCTTCATTGCGTTGGTAAGTTAAACACTCCATATTAAATCCTTTAAATAATTTTATGTCCCAGCTTATTCGTTGAGCACTTCAAGAATGAATCTGGTTCTAACACTGTATTTAGTGCATCGCATAGAATTTTTCTCTGACATTGCATCTAATGAATCATAGATATAGTAAGTAGTGTGCAGCATCCACTCCCAAAGTTACATAACAGCAACTTGAGCTAAACTCTAAGTCCATGATCATAATTGATACTCCAATTGTCAGGATTAGACATTTATGGCCAGCTTAAAATTGTTTTGCTTGCTAGCACCAAGAAGATATTGAAACAAATGAACTAAAATGGAAATAAGTTGTAAGAACTTCCTCTAAAGACAGTGATCATGTAACGGTTGTGATAATAATAAACATATTCTAGTTAACTTATTTTTTCAAAAGCAATGAAGAGCAACTAACTTGTGATGACTGAGTATCTAACTTACAGAGCTCTTCGAAGCATGATGCACATTTTCTTATCCTCGAAACCCCACCAACTTAAGTGTGCAGCAACATCAGGCATTATTACTAAATTCCCAAGGTCAACAAGTAATTGCTTTTTCTCCTGCTTCTTGGTATCTCTTTTTGTCTTCTCCAATAGGTTTCGTATCTCTTCATGCTTTGATAAAGAAAGATATCAAATTATCTAAAACAAAATGGTGTTTTGACTCAAACTAGTCTTGTACAATTCCTGAAATTTGAGTTCTGAGTCATATTTTCCTATTTTAAGATCTCTTGAATGCTCTCTGTCCTTAGTTTCAGTAGCATTTAGAAGCCCAGAAAAAGTTCAACTTGAGTTGCTTTACTAATTAAAAGTCTTCTTTTAGTTCTCAAAGATTCACCTCCATAAAAGAGTTCTACGAAATAATGGATTTTAGTATTTTGCAAGTTATTTTAGTATTAAACTTTCCAAAGCTTGAAAAAAATGCTAGTTCCCTTTCAATCTAACAAAATGTTATCTAAGGAAATTTTGAAGAATGATGAATCATGTGGCTTCTTTAGTTTGTGGAGTAAATCATACATGATGTGAAGTTAATTACCTAGTTGCAATTCCTGGGAATTTTTTATTGAATTTCGTCAACTTCTTATTTTCCTCTCGAGTTCAATCTCTTTGTCAATTTGTTTTCTGCTTATTTATTAATTTTTTGTCTATCTTGATAAGAATCAAAAGGGCCTGATTAAACCTAAAAAACACTGCTGTAGTATTCAGATCTAAGGTGTCACTACGATACTATTTACATTTTATTCAGGTCAAAAGTTCATCTTCAGCTCCTGGATTCTCATATAACTTGAACAACCATTCTTGTTCAAATTCCTAACTCTTGTAACCCTAAATTATTTGAAATAAAGTTCCAGAAAAATGTGTCTTTGGTGCTAGATGTTCTAATAAGCCTGTTTTCCACCAAGGTTCGCCACTCACTTTGTCCTGTGTCACAAGAAGGTCAAATAACGAAGTTCATTAATGTAGCATCCAACATAAGGTCTTAGGATGCCCCTAAGCCTTATTTTGTGTTTTTACCCCAGTTTTAATGAATTAATCATGATGTAGAGTTAAAAATGTCACCAACGATGGCCATGGTTAAGTCACAAGCAAAAAGAATTTACTCAGAAAAGTAGAACTTTAAAACAAAAGGACATTTGAGAACTATAGATTAATAGTTATATCATCGCTAAAATAGTGGTAAGAAACAGGCATGAAAACAAGGAAAACTCAAGTCAGATACCAAATCATGAAATAGATCAATTGTGAGAACGATGGAACGAAACAGGCATCAAAATAGTGCCTACTTCCGGTAGTGGCATTGCAATAGAATTACCTGGGACTATCGAGAACTTGACTGTACCATTAGTCCCTTTCTCTGGGATTTCGGACCCCGAACTTGGTCGTCGCCTTGGGTCTATAACGTGATTCATTTGTCGTGACACAGATGTTATCTGGTCATCCCCGTCAGTATGGTCCCTAGACAGAGGCTTCAGCTGGCTAAGAGGATCACCATAGATAAGTTGAGATCCAACCAACCAAGGCACCAGTGTGGCCTGAGGTGTCTCAGATATCACCATCTGGCCAACTCCATGATTCCCAAAGAAACCTGATGTTTGCATAGTGATCGCTCTCCAAATCCCTGAATCATCAGAAATCCGTTCCTCAAACCTATATTCATTCACCGACAGGTCTACCTCCAACTGCTGCTCTCAATTGTGATGATCCAACTTGCCCTCGGTTACCTGCAGTTCGAATCTTGATGTCCTATAGACGATGCACTACGGACAGAAGGAAGCATAGATAAACAAGAAATGCAAATTGACGGCTTAAAACCCAAATCACTGAAACAAAACCAAGTACCCAAGCAAAAAACACCAATTCACTATACCAAGCAAGAAACAGGGTGTAAAAAAGAGAAAGGTAAGATTAGTTTCAAGGAACCATCTCTACTCAACAAAGTAGCATCTTTTGCCCTTCTCACTGCAGAACATTCCTTAAATAGCTATAAATCGCTATCGCGAGACCCAAAACCTCAAAGAGAGAAAAAAACAACTCGTAAAGCTTTCAAGATCCAAACTTTCCAACGAAAACCCATTCCAAAACCATAAAGGAGGACAATTTTGCCGACTCCATGCTTGGAAAACCTATAATCGAAGAGAACAAACATCCGAATGTCGACACGAGACCATAAAACCAGGTTTAGAGACAGCAAGCGCACTGTTTCAACCGAGCCAATAAGCAACGGAAGACATTGGAGGGACAACACTCACATTTCGGTCGGAGCAGCCGTCAAAATTCCCATCCTTCGGGGTGCAAATTGACAGGAAGACCAACGGGCAGATGAAGCGACGAACAAAAGAGAGAGACGGAGAGACAGTGAGAGGTATACGTGGGAGGAGGCGACGGAGGTGGTTTTTATAGCTGCATTTTGCCGGGGATTATTCACCACTCCATGATTTATTTTATTTATTTATTTATTTATTTTTGGGGTATTATTATTATTATTATTATACTCTTTTTTTTTGTGCAAAAAGCCAGCTTGGATTAGGTTAGTGGGATTTGATCAAGTGATTAAATGTAATTAATTAATTAATTAATTTGTTTGTGGCTTAAGCAAATGGCAAGAAGACATCACAAATTCCACAAACTAAGCACCCTAACTTTAGGTAACCCAAAATCCTTGAAATATCTATATACAATATTATATACAATATTAATGTCTTAAATATTACACACAATAAACTGTGGGAAATTGTTTTTTCCTCCTATGTTCTAACAAAAGGGTCAAATATTAAATTAATTTAATTTAAATATTTTGCACATTTTGCATGGTTTCAGTAATTTGATGCAAGTGATGTGTAAAAGGGACAAAAAAATACTTGAGAAATAGAGATAACCCTTGTTTTATTGGTAAGTTTGGACAACATACTTATACCCTCACATATTTATAGCATTCCCATATATCTCTATCTATGTAGAGTCTGAAAATCAAGGTTTGTCGTACCGGACTGTACCGCCCGGTACGGGCGGTACGTACCGGTCCGACAGGCTAGCGGTACGCGGACCGCCCTGTACCGGTCCGCCCGTACCGAGCACTGTAGCAGTGCACTGTAGCACTGCTACAGTGCTCGGTACACCTGAGTGTACCGCTCGATACACCTAGGTGTACCAAGCGGTATACCGTACCGTACTGGTACTGAGCCCGGGTCGAAACACCGGTACGATACGGTACGGCGAACCTTGCTGAAAATAACATTTTTTTCCATACATTTAATATAATAATAATAATATCAAATGCAAACAAAGTTATTGAGGAAAAAGAAGTGAAGGTTGGGGAGCATTGCATTAATGTGCAACTCAAAAGGAAAGGAAGAAGATATAATATATTAGTAAAAAAACCATATATTCCTTGGTTGTGGAAAAGGAGATTCCCCCTTATCTTTGTCATTGATTGATTGAGATCATAAATCCTCAAATCTAAATTGAAGCTTATCAACAATTCTCTAACTTTCTACCTTCCGATTCCATGCTTTTCATTAAAAAAAAACAATGGAAGATTAGATGGGGCATTGACCTCAATGGAAAATAATGAGATCCACCTACTTATTATATTACTCCACAATGCATGCATGCGACTATTTATCGCCAACAGTGCTAATGAGCTCCACCGATCGTGAAGTGTGCTTTCATGGGCAGTTCACATCCGAGAATGTGTCGCTTTATTCGTCGTGTAAAGAAGATTAAAAGGATTTGGTATTCTAAGGAACAAGATAAATTTGCTAATTAGATTAGAAGAAGAAGAAGAAGAAGAAGAAGAAGAAGAAGAAGAAGATCCTCCTTAATCTCCTCATCCGGTTTCAGAAGAGATAACATTTTAAATCAAGTGAGGTAGATGTGAGAGTTGGTCCGCAACTTGCACTTCTTTAGGTGTTGCTTCTTATGAGACTACGACATGTCAACTTGCACTTTGGTTCTATTTCTTCCTTTATTTGAGTGTTATTTTTATTCAAATCATTACTTCTTCTTCAATCTATCACGTGTCAGGAAGCTTCGTATCAATGGTTGTCCTCTATAAGATAAATTAATAACTCAATTATAATATCTTATTTTTTAGTCATATTCATATTCGTATCGATGGTTATCCTAGGTAGGATAAATTAATAATCCAATTATAATATCTTATTTCTAATCACATACATAATTAAAATAAGATAATATAGTATAAGCAATCTTAAAAAATAAAATATGTTAATTTACTAAACAAAACGATAAAGTCTTCTTTGTGTATAAAGTGATTTTGACACTTGTACATAATTATAATATATGATCGAAAGAAAAACACACTCACATAACATGTCTAAAAGTTATACACATATAAATGTCCATAAGTCATCGTTTATATCTATACTAGCATGGGCTCGTTCACTTCTCGGCTCAATCACACTCAATAAATATAAGACTTTATAATTTTATTTAGATAAACATGTATCATGTCATATTTAATATTTTAAAATAATCTATATAAGATATTTAATGATAAATAATTTATCCTATAACTTTTTTAACGAGCATAATCCTATAACATAGTATATACAAAAAAAAAGTAAATTCAACATCGAAATAATTTAAAATACTTATATGCATATATAAGAAACATAGCAAATTCATAGATTTTTACACCTCATATCATAATAAATACATGTACTCTTACACTGTATATCATCGTAATATATACATACACTCCCACACCGTATACCATAATATATACATATACACTCATACCGGATGTCATAATACATATGTATATTCTCACATCGCATATCATAACATATACATGCATTGCACTTCGTAACATATCGTGCACTCCCACACTGTACATCATAAAAAATATTTATATTTTTATATCATATGTCATCATATATGTATGCATATTTTTATCATAATTCATATATTTTTTATACTTATAAAATATATATATTCACATCGAGCTCATAGTTAGCTCATGATAATCATATCATTCAAAATATATTTTTAAAAATATATTATAAATATGATAATTTATACGACCATTATTTCATAACGAATGAAACTTATACTTATCTTATTTAACTCAAAAATAAAAATGATAGTGAATGGTCATATTCTTTAACGATCAAGTGTGCTAAGGAATGATACACCTATCAAATTGAGAACATAGGATCATAAGATGTCTTAATTAAGATTCATATCACTTAAATGATTAATTTATAATAACTTATAGCAATAATTCATAGAAGAATTTTTGATAAAGTCCATAATAAAATAGATTATATTCAACCTAAACTTTTTTTAATTTTCATCATTAAGTTTTTAACAATTCACTCTATAATAAATGAACTAGTAAATAGCACTCAAACCATCGAATAATTTTATGAACAAGTTTTATGTCATTATTTTAGTTGATTAAACGATCTTAAATTACCATAAATTTTTTTAGGAAACTAAGAGACATATAAAATTAAATGCACACTAATTTTTTGCTTCAAACAGTATCATTTGGAGGATAAACTACCGAACTAGAATCATTTTCAGCTTAAAACTAAATGCACACTAATTCACTACCAACACCTATTTTGTTTTGTTGAAACTAAGCTATGACTATCTAAACTTATAACCTTCATATCTCGATGCATAAATGTGATATTCACTCAATTTCAAATTCCACAAACCTTAAGGGAGCCTTTTAAAATATATCAAAAGAACAGTCTAATCATATCCCTAAAGGAATCAATTTAGCTCGAATAGTACTCCTAAAAAATAATAGATTCTAAGTATCTTAGATTAGAATATTCATAACTCTATGAATCGATCTCAAATTAAGATTATACTAGAAGCCTTAGAATCATAAGAGATTCATACAAAACATATCCAAAAATTAAATATTAATTCGAATTCTATGCCACTCAAAAGTAATTAGAAATATCAGTCTATAATTTGAAAGTCGAAATCTCAGATATAGCTAAGGAAGAATTGAGTTTTCCTAACTTTCATGAGAAAAACTGATAGAATGGCCGAAGAAGAAAAAAAATAATCGTAAGTTATCATATTAGTAAAAAGGATGAGATTGAAATAAGATAGAGGTTCTTAAAATATTACCTTAAGGTCTAGGGTTCAATCCTATTGAACCTTTTTTTTAAATTTTGTTATTAATATAATTATAAGGTTTTAGTAACTTCAATTGGGTTTCATTTTTCTTAACAAAGATAATATTTTTAGTCTAAACTCATTTTTTAATCTAATTTATGTATCTCAATATTTTTTTTACGCTTCTTTGATTTATAATTTCACATACTTTTTCATCACTTCATCCATACCTTAATAACTTATTATCCTCAACATGCATGATGTTTGAAACTTAAACTTTCTTCTTTTAATTATATTCAAACTTATTCAAATATTAATATTCATTTAAGGTCGATTATAATTCAATCATCACTTCTAGTCACTATATGCATGCTTATTACCATAATTTAACCTCATACTCAAATCTACTAACACACTTAGGCTTATTGTGCCAAAAGACCAAACCTTTTTTACTATAAAATATGCATAAAGTAAACATTAATGTTTACGCATGCTCAACCAATATTTCGTAGAACACTAAAATTAATATTTTTTAAAAATATATATTTTAATCTTAAAGGCCTAAAATATGAACATATTATTTATCATATTTATATAACATAAATATTATAAATCATATTAGTAAGTAAGGTTAGCATATATATATTATTTGTGCTTCTATTGGCATGCTAATTATAGTTCATTATGTGTACAACTCGAATACTAGACCAATATAGATCAAAAAGTATCTAATCAAAACAAACAAACAAAAAGATATTTACATATTTCTTTTTCTTTCTTTTTAGGGGATTTAATAACTTTCAATCAGGTGCAAATCATTATTCTATATTATAAGTTATATATATAATTACTAAATTGTACTTAAAAAAGAAAAAACTCATACCATCTAACCTTCTAACTATGGATATCTTCTTAAAGATAAATTACTAAAGTCTATTAAATTATATAAAATACACATAAATTATCCACACGATAATTCACATAAGAGGCAGCAAGTATGCATATAACACATGTAGATAGGTGTTATATAAGAAGGAAGAATACTAACCATGGAAGGAAGTGAATTGACCTAATTGCAAGTCTAAGAATATACTATTTGAGCAACAACACGACATTAATTCCTTCACTTAATACATAGAAAAAATTATATATTATTTAATCTACTTTAGTTAAACCTCTTTAGTATTCCATATCCTTGAAACATGTAGCTCCATTTATCCTAACATTGTTAGTTTTATTGATG